GCAAATCTTATATATATTCCGACCATACATGAGTAACTTCTTTAGTATTTGCAAACATGAAATTAACTACTGACTGCTTATTTAGATATCTTCGAGCAGTGGCATATCGTTGGATAGTCAGATGGGTATTTGGCATGCTCGGGTGGGAGAATTCCAGGCCACTTCCAGCATGTCTGTATAACAGAATAAGGAAGAGATTTTCATCCTCAAGCACCACTGGATACAAACGATCACAGCAGAGAACTTGATTTAAGGTTTAAAGGCCATGCTTGTTTTATTCGAAATGCAAAGTAACTCAGACTGCACTGCTTTTATAGGGTTTGAACCTTAGATAGTACAGCTGCAAACATGATTGTGTGTGAGTGCTGGTATGAGTTTCGTGACATCAGGGAAATGTGGTAGCCAAGCCTAGACTCGCTATGTCTATCGCGAAAAACATGCACACGTTTCTTGCTGAGGTTTTCTAGAGGCGAGATAAATACTAATCAAATTCCGGTCTATTTTGTGTACAAAAACACGCAACTAGATGTAATAGATTCTCAATGTGAACTTAACAAACGGTTGTGAGTGAACATATTAAATTAATAAAGTAGAGCCCATCATTAGAAGCAGCTATAAGTCCTATAACACTATCGTATTTTACCACACTATATATGCAATTCAAAATTTGTTTGTTTTGGAATGCTCATGTTATGGCATAATGTCAGTAAATGTAGATATTTAGTATTAATTTCCATGTTATGCTTACACTAGTTACTACAATGTTTGCTGTAATTAATATTAGCTATAGCCTATCTACGTAATATGTGGTCTGAAACCTACAACATAGACATATACCTAAAACTGTCTGTACCAGTGTGGGTACTACCAATGTGAAAATGCTGTGCTGAGTGGTTATATTACTACCTGAAAAAAAAAACAAGCAGAAACTCAACGTTTCGGTATTGACGAAGGGCCTTTGCTCGAAACATCAAGTTTCTGCTTGTTTTTTTTCCAGGTAGTAATATAACCACTCAGCACAACATAGACATAGTTTCTCATCTCATAGAATTTGCATTTTTGGCTGCTGTTACATGATAGCAATTATCATGTATGTTTTATAACATTTTATATTATACATTAATACATTTTACTATATTTATATATTATATATCATAGTTTAGTTATATTATATTTACTCTAAAGAATTTACCTATGGAAAATTGTTTTACACACAGGAAGTTCTCTTAGCTTAGTCATACATGAGCATGCAAATATTTTAGTTTATTACGTTACCACAAGTGCATAATGGACGGGAACAGTTACCGCAAGATTGTAAAAATCTTCCCACAAAATGACACAGCAAGAAAAAACGTTTCTCTCTAAACATATATAAGGGAGAGCACAACTCTTATGCACAATTCATTCATAGGCCTCCAAGCCTTACATGTTTCATTCATAGGCCTCTGTGCCTTACATGTTCCATTCATAGGCCTCCACGCCTTACATTATTCATTCAATAGGCCTGCGCGCCTTACATTCATTCAATGGGCCTCAGCGCCTTAGTTACATTCATAGGCCTCAGCACCTTACATGAATATCGTTTTGGAAAAGCTATTATAAAAAAGGTTGTTAAGGAAAGATTGTTACAAGTTATATACGAACGAGTATTGAAGTTAAAAAGTGCTCAGTCAGACAGAAAAGAGATAAGTTGAACTGATATAGTTTTAATTATATAGTAATTGGATATACTTTAATATAGCAAGTTAAAGAAATAAATAGTTATATAAACATAACTGACTCACACTGATTCTTTGTTGCGAGAGAAATCGAACCAAAACGCGGGAAATAATAATATTAAGGACCACCCTCATAACACCGCTTATACGCTACAACTCATCACATTGTAATTAGATTTTATCTATACATTGAACGCGATGTCTACATAAAATGGATTCATTTGAATTTTCTTCAAAATCTCTCAAAAACCCAATTCTACCCAGATGAAGCTATGATTTTCATAGTGTTTACATATTGAAAGGTCTTACTGTGTCATACTGCATATGTCACTGGCCACGCGATGGAATGTCAAGAATTTTGCCAGTAGATAGTCAAAAAATCGAAATTTAATCGTAAATTTAACAAACTTCTGGTTCAAATTTTTCAACAAGGTTGGTATTTTTATGATTGGAAAAGACCAAATTTTCAGAAAATACAAAAAACCCGATATCGAAATTTTCATTTCATATACACTTTAAGACATATAGCTTCTGCTTTTGACACTCGATCATCAAATTGTCTGTTGAAAGGATCTGGTATCTTTGTCTGGTATTTTTCGAGCATCTTCAAATGTTCTGTGGCCGAGTGATTAAGCATTACTTCTTTAATAGCAGACACATAGTCTGAAATGGTTAAACACAGTTGCAAGTTGTTATTATAGTCAGGCATTGATAAAATGCGCAGTGTCCGAGCGCCGCTCGCAGGCACCTTTTACATTTTTGCAGGCACATTTTAAAATACTGACATTTTAACAATATTTAGGTCACAAAATCTAAATAAGATGTGTTTTTGCAGGCACATTTTGAATTTTGCTCGCAGGCACGAAAAAATGTTATTGAGGCCTGATTATAGTAGTTAGTTTGCATTAACCTAGCATATTTTTAAGACCATTACAGATATTTTAAAATTCTGCACAATTGAGCTTGCTTGTGTAAATAGTTTACAAGTATCACCTGTGTAATTAAATTGTGATTTTGATAGCTCAATGTATACAAATTGATACATTAATTGGTATGCCTACCGTAACTTTGGGGAACTGAAACTTCTCGCACTACTTCCTCTCCTTGTTTGAACTTTGGCCAAGTAACTTTGTAATATATTTATCCATCTTTTCTCTTATGAGCTTTTCTTTTGACATTTTCATTGAAGTAGAGGCTGGCCAAAATATTTCTAAATTGTCAGGATAACCCAAACAAAAAATTGGATCATTCCAAAAAAGTTTTACACCCCACATGGAGGAATTTTCTGCCATCCTAAAGGGGCGGGAAGAAAAAATTGTTTCTGAGGATAGTAAGTGCAAGTATTAGGACATCCAAAGGGAGTAGGGTTGACCTCCAATATCCTCTGTGGGGGAGGTAATGGATTTTTTGGAATGATCCATTAGGTATTTTATGTACAGTATTGTACAACTGTGCAGTGCTCCCTATATAGCATATTTGGCATCGTAAGGTTAATCAGACTTTGTGATAGTGTACCTGCAATATCTCCCAAGGCAGGTGAAACGCATCATTTTGGGATATATATATATATATAAAAATAAAAATTAGTTAAATTAGTAAAGATCAACTGATAGCAGCTTTGAAATATATCCCTTTAAATTAGTAACAATACAGGATTTGCTAAAGCAGGTTAAATAGTACAGTATCTTTATCCATTTTCTGTGCTGAATTTCATCATGAGCACAAATTGGAAATAATGAATCTGAATGTCCTGTATGTCGATTGGCAACATGCATCATAAAGGAATTCCACTTTGCCAATATAAGTTGCTTGAAACCCTGCTTAGTGCTGTTGGCACACCAATATACATGTGTTTGGACTCCTTTCACCCAGTAGGTAATTCTTTCATAACCCTTCTTTTTGCCAGCCTTCAGCATTTTTTTAGTGATGGATCTGTATATCATAATCAAAGTAAATTATGCTATGCACATTAGTCGACCTGATTTAGCTGTTACCATTGGTGTTCTATCACAGTTCATGGCAAATCCTGGACTAGAACATTGGAAAGGAGTTAAGAGCAAGGGTGGGTTGTAGCGAAGTAGTTGTAGTTCGCTACTGTAGCGAACTACAATTTTCAAGTAGCCAGTAGTTTTTAACTACTTTTTTAAAACAGTAGTTGTAGTTATAGCGAACTACATTTTGCCTAAAAGTAGCCAAGTAGTTGACTACTTTTCAAACAGCGAATCGCTATTCGCTACTTTTTAAAATTGTTAGCAACCTGATGGAATGGCGCCATGATATTAAAACACAGTTTGCTTAAAATCAATACTCAATAGTCAATTTGCACTCCTGAACACTGTAGTGCTTACAAAAATGTTGCTTTGTGTTTACTGTTGGCTGTTGCTACTCGTAAGTCGATTTGTTATAGATTACATTACAGCCTGAGTTAGTAGATGCTCCAAATATAGTAAAACTAAAAGATATAGTGTAGCGAAATAGCGAAATAGTTCGCTACATTTTTTAAGCAGCAGCTGTAGTCAGTAGCGAACTACCTTTGTTCAAAAGTAGCAGTAGTTGTAGCTGACTACATATTTTTGAAGTAGCTGTAGTTATAGCGAACTACAAAAATTTTGTAGTCAACCCACCCTTGGTTAAGAGAGTCTTGCATTATATACAAGGCACATCAGACTATGGTCTCGTGTACACGTCTGATGGTAAAGAACCTATTTTAGCGGGTTATTCTGACACAGACTGGGGAGGAGATTTGACAATACATACATCAACCACAGGATACATCTTTCAAATACAAGTAAATAGAGTAAGCATGTGTAGCAAGTTACAAGGTTGTGTGTCAAAGTCGACTACCAAAGCTGAATATGTTGCACTCAGCACAGCTTCCCAAGGAGGAGTTTGGTTCATAGATATCTTATATACACTAGATAGTGCATCTAATTATTCTGCAATTCAAAAATTGAAGCTGTGATTGCAGGCTCAGGATATTCCCATGAAATGAGAAGATTCGTATGTATCCTATTTCTTAAACAGGGAACTTAAACATTAAGTTAATCCTATTATAAATACATTTTCAAACTATTCAAATGATGAAAGTTATTGTTATTTTTTAAGTGTTTATTAGCGAGTGGGAAGCTCCAACATGGCCGCCATCTATTCAAATGGGGGTAACCGCTGGAATATTCTTGGCTTCAATTTTACTAAAAGAGATGCGCCATCTAGTTTATATAAGGTATCTATGGTTTGGTTAAGAATGCTTGATGATTTTTGGCTAAAACGTACCTGCAAAAAATAATTTTCTAACGAAATTGTCTTTTGTTTGTGAAGAAATTATCGTTTTTTATATTTTTCATCATGGCGGAAAGTACAGAACGAGAGCTTTACGGCGACTTACGAGCAATTACCGACTGACAGAAATCCAAATTTCTTCTATATTTTGAATCAATCTGCATCGTTATATCTCGGTCAAGGAAACTGGCACAAGTCATAACGTCAAAATCAGTTGTCAAGAATAGTGTGCTGCCTACGACAGCAATATTCCTTTTAACCATTTTTTTAATCCTCGTCCAATTCCATCACTCCCTCGTCCTCGTTAACGCTGCTGTCGTCGCAGTCGCTTGCGTAACAGTCATGTAGGGCACTCTTGGCATCATTCATTTGCATAGCATTCGTCTTGATAAAAACAAGCTTCTTGACCTTCTCTGCACCAAGGCGGTTGCGTAGCTTCGAGTGAATGAATCCGAATGTTGAAAAGTTGTGCTCCTATGCTGCGGCTGACGCTGCCATTGAAAACACTCGAATAGCAAGATTCTGCAACAACGGCCTATCTGTGCCATCAGCCATCCACCATTGCAACACCGACTTCGAGTTGCCAATCATCTGGAAGCGGAATGTGTCCTGCTCTCTTTCGCTGACTTCTTCGATGCGAAATGATGTGTACTCTTGTGCCAATTGATCTCTTCTCGCTGCGGATGTGTTGCCCTCTTCCTTTGGGAAGTTGAAGATGAAATCTTCGATCTTGATGTGAATGTTACGCTGCATTTTATCACCTAAGTATTGAGGATCTAGGAGGTAGCACACACCATGTGCATCCCCGTACATAAATTCAAAACGATTTTTGACTAATTCGGCCAGGTAGGACTTCTCGTTGTCTGTGTAGGGCAAATTACACATTTTGTCTTCCATGTCAAGGAATGTCTTGTAGACGTCGGAGCAAGGTTCTGCATCGCTTCGAGGATCTTGATGCATTTGTCGAGCTTTGTCACAAAATTAGAATCGGTGATAATCTCCTTCACCGAGGCTCGTTTCTGCTGCTGGTTTGCGTTACCCTTTGAGACAAAACTATGCTCGAACACCGAAGCATTCAAAACTGTGTCCGTCACCCATAAAGATTTAAAGCAACCCTGCATCGTACCCCAACATGTAACTAAATCTGCTGTGAGCCAATCTGCATTGTGTGACAGCTCTTCAGTATGCACAGCTTCCAGGAATAGTGAACAAGTCGGGCTGACGGCCATGTAATTTACAATTCGCTCGTTTAGAATGCTAGACCATGCGTCGCTCGTGATGGAGATGTATTTGCTCTTGGTGGATAACAGTTTCTTCACATTTTCTTTTGTGTTACTGTAGCACATCTCGAGCAAACTGCTACTACTGTCGTCTGCTAACTGCTTCCACGTCGGCAACTGTGCACCAGGCCGTGCCAACTGAATGGCTTGAAGAAGATGGGGATCTTAGATTCGCATGAAGCTTGTACCGGTACAATAAAAATGCATAGTCATCTCAAGGTTGAATTTTTTCTGCTCACCGGCAGTAAAATGTGGGATGGCAAACGATCTTACCGACTGCAATCTCGCTGAGGAACTTGTAGAGGCGGTCACCCTCGGTTTATCAGTTGTCTTGGTTTTATTCCACCAGTCCGGGCGTTCACTTACAGGCTTGTTCAACATCAGGTTCATAAAAGGCCTGCATTTGCGGAGGTGCCTTTCAACTACGAACGTTTTGTGGTGGTGTCGAAAAGACTGTTTGCAATGCTTGCATGCAGCGTTGTTTGGACTTCGCAGTGAATAAGCCTCCCGATCGTCGAAGGCAATGCTCCAAATTGGATGCGCTGGTTTGCCAACTTTTGCACATTTAGTTTGAGGAGCCTCTTCTTTGTGGCTGTGTGTGTCTCCATGGTCATCAGCGTCGCTATCTTGAATATATGCTGAACTTTCAGCACTGTTGCTCATCATGCTAACCGGAATTACCCAATAATTAAATGACGGAATTACCCAAATTTTAATGCTATAAGCTGGCGTCATGCTCACATAAAGATCAGCTTACATCTGGTAGTTACATCAGAATTTACCCGCTGATAAGTGATAAATAATTTCCTTAAAAGACATTATCGGGATAGGGGAGAAAAAGGGATCAGAACCCTGTATTTTGATGATTTTTGTGTTAAACAGTGTAATCCTACTGTTATATTTGAAAATAATCAAGGAGCTATTGAGTTGTCAAGAAATCCAAAGTTTCATGCTTGCATGTTTGTTTCGTATCATGTGAGAGAAAAGATAAACCAGAACTTTGTTTATGTGGTGTACTGTGCAAGGAAGGACATGTTAGCAGATGTTATGACTAAGGCAGAGACATGTTGGGAGTTTTTGAAATCAGAGAATGACTGTTGCTGAACATTTTGAACTTTAAAGTTAATTTGTTAATGGTGTAATCATTAAATGGGAGTGTTAAGAAGTGACACTTCATTTAATGAGTATAATGATCACACTTGAATACATATAACTATATGATTGGTCAGAACAATCATGTGACATTAGTGACGTGCATGTTCATAAACTTTGAACACTGTGTATTTTGTCTCATTCATATTTCATACAGTAACATTACTTGTTTTGCTAGACATATAATTAATAAAGATGTTTACTTAAAAGTGATTACAAGATATGATCATTAGCATAATCTCAATAAACTGCAGTTGCTTTTGCAATCCGAGTAAGACCATTTCTCAGCAAGTCAGGTGCCAAGAATTTCAGAGTGGGGGAGGATGGAAATCTTAAAAAAGCTCCAATTGTGTACAGTGAGAAACTTAGTATTTATTTTGTTAAAAGGCATGCAATATTAATAATATATAATGAACGTTTATTTTTAAATTTTTACTAATACACAGTAGCATAGCCAGCCCAACGATTTAGTCCGGCTATGCAAATTATTTTTGTGTTCATTGACTATGAAAAACAATCGATTTCTAAAAAAATGAATAATGATAATAAGTTTGAATTTATGTTGTATTTTTCCATGAATTTCTGTAAAATTCAATTCACTTCCAGGAATTTCTGCAAAAATCATGTGATTACTTTAATGATTAGTGAATACACACGTTTAAGGCTAATATTAAAAGAGTATATAATTATATTTCATCTGATTATGTGAATATGGGTACAGGTATAATGTCTATGTACCTTGCATAGACATAATGCAAGTGAAACTTTAATAAACTGGTACCTTTCAGAAGAGGCAACTTTACAATATATGAAAGCATAATTTGAATTGGCAGCATTCATCCCCAATAAGGTAAGAAGAAACTAAAATATAATACAGATGTGTAGTTATAACAGGGTTGGATAAAAGAACATTTTTTCAGAAAAAAATGTTCTTTATTCTTTTATTAATAAAAGAACATTTTAAATAATAAAAGAACATTTTGGCTTTAAGAAAAATATGATGACATCATAATAAATAAGACGATGACATCAAAGAAGATATGATGACGTTGAGTGTTTGTAACAATCCAGTTTAGATAATTTCGTATATAGTGTGTAATCGTGCTTACACATTGTTTTTTGGTATACACCCTTTTCATAAATGGCTGCCGATTAAAAATTCTTTTATATGCATATAAATTGGCCCAACTAGCCTCGTACTCATGTTAGGATTTCAAAGGAATTTCTACCCAGAAACGAGGCTAGTTGGGCCAATTTATATGCACATAAAAGAATTTTTAATCAGCAGCCATTTATGAAAAGGGTGTATATGTCTATATTCCAGTACTTTGTGGAGTTGATGATCTCGACAAAGTACTAGAATATAGACATATATATATAACAAGGACAACTAGACAAGGTGTAATCGCGATTACACACTATATACGAAACTAAGTAGACCTAGTCACTGATACATATATATATTCAATAAATTATTTACAACTAAAAAACATCTGACTTTTAGTATCAAAGTAGAAACTAAGGGTAGCCACCTAGAGCCACTCTTGAAATGTAAGGGCTTTCAAAATAAGCCAGTCTCTTCTTAATGTCCCATTTAACACAATTATAACATATGACTAACACAATGTTGATAAGTTTTAAAAGTATAAGTGTGGCCAGGTTGTAGCAACAGACACTGTAACATGTAATACATTTCAAAGTATATAATTATACTAGAAATTACTAATGCAAGGAAATTGCTGCCTCGCCGCCAAAACTTTGGGTTAGGTTGTTCAAAATCTGTTTATAATCCGTTGATAATTCAAAACTAAATAACACTATAATGGAAACATAACACTATTATAATTTTTAAACAATGAAAATCGTATGTATTTTATTGTAAGAATCGCGTGCATATATGTTACAACAATTAGCTAAGGTTAATGTCATATATGTTACAACAGAAACTAAGGTTAATGTCACTAATATTCTTAGACACAAAGTAAGTGTGGTCACTTCTAGAGTAATAACCTGGAATGACTCACAGTTAATAACACTATTAATAATGGATAAATATAATGCACAAGAGTCAAGGACTGTTAATACTATTAACAATGGAAATATAACATTATTATGTATACCATAACAACACTATTATACATATATACATAACACTATTAAGAATGGAAGCGCATAACACTATTATATATCCTGTCTGTCTGTATGTTTTTTTTTTTACAAAAAAACTGTTAAAAGCTACATATCTTGTAAGCAGGTGAACTTATTAATGATCTTATGACACTATACAAGGCTATACAACACTATCCAATGTTATACAAGACCATACAACACTATATAAGGCTATACGAGACTATACAACACTATACAGCATTATACAAGACTATACGACACTATACGACACTACACAAGAGTATACAACACTTACAACAGTACACAATAGTATACAAGGCTATACGACACTATACAACACTATATAATGTTATACAAGACTATATAACAACATATAAAGGCTATACAACACTATATGACACTACATGACACTGTACAACGTTATACAAAACTATACAACAATATATAAGGTTATACGACACTATTCCACACTATACAACGTTATACAAGACTATCAAAATTACGACACTATACAAGAGTGTACATGAAAGACTATATACAACACTATACAACACTACACAACGTTATGCAACACTATATGACAATATATAAGGCTATACGATACTATACAATGTTAATTATACAAGACTATACAACATTGCATAAGACTATATACAACACTATACGACACTACACAATAATACACAAGGCTATATACAACACTATACAACGTTATACAAAACTATACAACATTATAAATAAGGCTATGCAACACTATACAACGTTACACAAGACAATACAACAATATATAAAGCTATACAACACTATATAAGGCTATATGACACTAAACGACACCATGCAACATTATACAACAGTGTACAACACTAAACAACCTATAATTATAAGGCTAACGGCACCATACGACACCATACAACGTTATACAAGACTATACAACAATATATAAGGCTATACAACACTGTACGACACTATACAACGTTATCCAAGACTATATGACACTATACAACACTATACTACACTATAGATAACTATTATACAAGACTATAGACTAAACAACACTATACAATGTTATACAAGACTATACGACACTATACAACACTAAAACTGTCTGTACCAGTGTTGGTAGTACCAATGTGAAAATGCTGTGCTGAGTGGTTATATTACTTTAAAAAATAAGCAGAAACTCGACGTTTCGAACTCTTGACGAAGGGCTTTCGCTCGAAACGTCGAGTTTCTGCTTATTTTTTAAGGTAGTAATATAACCACTCAGCACAACTATACAACCACTATATGTCATTTCGATGTTTTCCTTCGTGGTTGAGTTAATAGTGATATACCCTGTGAGCAGAGCCTTAATATCAAGTCTTCAATCATTTTCACATTTTTCTTCGTAAATCATAACATTTGCCAACATTGAACATGCCTGCATCATTCAGTCATGATATTTAAATGTTCAATATAAACTTATTACTAATAAGTAAACATTGTCAACACCTTATACTAATAATTGGCTAAAACGTACCTGCAAAAAATAATTTTCTAACGAAATTATATTGTCTTTTATTTGTGAAGAAATCATCGTTTTTTATATTTTTCATCAAGGCGGAAAGTACAGAACGAGAGCTTTACGGTGACTTACGAGCAATTACCGACTGACAGAAATCCAAATTTCTTCTATATTTTGAATCAGGCTGCATCATTATAACTCGGTCAAGGAAACTGTCACGAGTCATAACGTCAAAATCAGTTGTCAAGAATAGTGTGCTGCCTACGACAGCAATATTCCTTCTAACTCATTAACGTGCAAGCTGTTACAATGTTTCTACCCCCAAAGTGGACAAGCAAAATGGCGAATACATGATTGAATTCAACAGCTTTCACCAAAATGGCAATTCTCAGAAACACAGTTGCATGAAAAAATCTGGTCTTTTCAACCAAATATTATTGATATATGATTGACCAAATTTAGTTTAAATGAACTTGCATACCTATATATATCATTAGTTTTTTCAATGAGAATTTTTATTTGTAAAGCAGTGACACTTAGTTTTTCATGTCACTCATCACCTAAAGGGGCAATATCTCCATAAATTTATATAAAAACAAAAAAAAAATTATTCACTAAATTAGTACATACCTATTTTATAACCAATTTTCATCTATTGGGATATGAATTAGAAAATGATCAAAAATTATAAAATATACTCCTTTGCTTTTTTGGGCAAGATGTTTACAACATGAAATTTAGAACAGTAACTAAGTGTTCAAATTCAACAAAGGTGTGCAACTGCCAAAACACAGTGCTTGTACATCTTTCAAGTTTTTAATTACTTCAAATATATTTATAAGGACATATGGTACTAGAATCTATTTATTTTCAATAT